TATATTTTTTATTTCTTTCTGTTACATTTTATGTTTTTTTTTATAATTATTTTTTTTGCAAATAGATTTTTTATTTTAATTTTTTTAACGCCCTCTTTGGTCATTTCCAGTAACTTCTGCTACCTTAACTCATTTTAATTCGATTTTCTATTGACCACTGCGCGCAATCAGTTATTGGCCATTGACGCGCTGCGCGACGTGTCGTGCATTTGAAGTTGAGATCCACGAAATATAAAAGCAACAATAGTACATAAGATCTAAGTGAACTATAGATTGTAGATATAGCCAAAAATAATCGGTTTGTCGTTTACTTACATGCATACATATATATAATATTATACATATGATGTACATACGCATGTAATTGGTGTTAATTTTACCGGTTTTTCTTTGCTTTATTTTTGGGTTTTGTGCTTCTTCGTTTTTATGTGCTTGCAAATATTTTGCTTTGCTATCAACGTCACGATTAGCCTTCTAATACAGTTATACCCTTAACCTTCATTTGAAAAAATGCGTGCAATGACAACTGTACTACGCAGGTGCGGTTGGCTATTATAACCTTGGCACAAAGTCAAAATGTGTAAGAGAAGAGCATAATTATATTAAATTATGAAAAAAACGTTAAGTTTGCTTGCACCGAAGCTAGAATACCCTTCCAACAAATACAAAAGGCCCTTTACAAGAACTTTAGCATAGTTCAGTTTGCATGACAGCTATATGCTATAGTGGCCTGATCTGAACAATTTCTTGGGAGCTTACTTTATTGCTTTAGGCAACATTCCACGCCAAATTTCGTGAAGATATGGCATCAAATAAAAAAATGTTTGGAAATTTTATAATAATTTTTTTTTTTTTTATTGAAATTCTAATTTTCTTTTTTTTTCTTTTTACGGAGTGCAATTAAAAATTTTTCCTCCTTATGTGCAATTTATTTTGATATATTTTTTTTTGATCTTTTATAATTTTAAAAATTTTTTGGTTCCTCATGTGAGATTAGAGTTTTTTAATTTTTATGTTTTTTTAATATTACTTTTTCAGTTTCGTGTTTTTTAATTTGTATGGCTTTTAACTGTAATTTTTTTTGTTGTTTAAATGTCGCTTAAAATCTCACCT